TAGTCCCAGCTACTTGGGAGACTGAGGCAGGAGAATAGCTTGAGCCCAAGAGTGTGAGGTTGCTATGAACTAAGATGCCACAATACTCTCTACCCAGGGCAACAGAGTGAGACTGTCTCTAAATAAATAAATAAATAAATAAACAGTAACTGAACAAATCTTAGTCACTCAAACATACTAACAATGGCAAGCTCACTCTGGCAAGCATCAAAGCAAACTGTGCGTGCTGAAAAGAAGAAATATTTCTTGGGGAATTTTTGAAAAGCAGCATAGTTCAGTTTAAATTAGTGATTCCTAGAGCAATTGTTTTTTAATCCTCTTTTAACAACCCCTGCACACTTTCGAAACTATAAATCACTCAAATAACTCACAGTAACCACTTAGCACCCAGCCTCTGAGCTGCGGGAGAGCAACAGTTTCCAGCAACGTATGACAAGGGCAGAGGTGACTAACACTACCAGGGCTCACTCTGCAGATTTTGCTCTTGTAAGTAATTCACACTTTATACTATTACTCAAAATGGAGCAGCTCATTTTGGATGGATTTTCTCGCTTTTAAAATCTAATTGGAAAATCAATTTGTCTCTGATTGTTGATGGCTGTGGTTTTATTTTTCAAAAACCCAACGGTAAGAAATTGGAAATAAGAGCAGCTCAACTAATATTATTTCTTTAATTTAACAAACTGACTTCATTAACTGACCTAACCAAGGTTTCTTTAGCATCTACCATGTTCAAAGGACACAAAAAGCAATAATAAGCAATTAGGACTCTTGAGTTTACATTTTAGCGGTGACTAAAATTGAAATCACTTGACTTTGAAAGGAAGACAATACAGGCCAGCACGGTGGCTCTCACCTGTAATCCAGCACTCAGGGAGGATGACATGGGTGGACTGCTTGAGCTCAGGAGCTCAAGACCAGCCTGAGCAAGAGGGAGAGCCCCCTGTCTCTACTAAAAATAGAAAAACTAGAAAGGCATGCTAGCAGGTGTCTGTAGTCCCAGCTACTCAGAGGGCTGAGGCAGGAGGATCGCTTTAGCCTAGGAATCTGAGGTTGCTGTGAGCTATGATGCCATAGCACTCTACCAAGGGTGACAGAGTGAGAATATGTCTCAAAACAAAAGAAAAAAAAAAAAAAAGACAAGACAGAGTTCCTCATATTCCAATCATACACCACCCAGGGGGATGGAGAGCTGCTGTGAAAGCCTGTTCTGACTGCAATGATACACCCAGCTTGCACCCTTTCCTCCTCACTCTCACCCCCCTCCAAGATTCCTTCTCTTCAATTACAAGGTACAGGTTGCTCAAAGGCTGCCCTTAGCCCTAAGCCACAGATTAGAGTCTATCCCCAGGCTTTAACGTAAAGTCGCTTTTGCATGGTGGTAAATCTGTTAGGTTATCCCTGGGTAACATTCCATCCAAGGATAGAAAATGAGCAAAATTCTACTGGGAGTTCTTAAAACACCCACCCTGTCTCTGGGGACTGCTCACCTCAGCCCCCTACTCCTCCAAAAGGCAATAATACATCCCACATTCTTTTCCTTTGTTGAATGCAGTTTTGTTTTGTTTTTTAAAGCACCAGACCATTTGGCCCACCATAAACACCAATTGGTGTGGTCAAAGGGTGTCCCTGGTGAGCAAATAAGGGAGAATGAGGGGGTAAGCCTGCAAAACGACACTCTTCTTGGTGGTGGTAGTGGGGGAGACAAGGAGTCATGGAAAGGGTGATTTCCCCAGAATGAGACTGGGCCTTCGTCAGCCTGAAAAATAAACACAGGGCAAGACAGGTTCTGCTCCTCCATGAACTCCCTTACCACCCCTGGACATGCCCAGGGGAATCCACTGTCTGACTTCAAATCCTGAATCACACTTAACAGCTGGGGCAAATTCTCCGATTCGTAACTGGAAGGTAACAATACCACGTAGCACCTGCCTCAAAAGACTAATGCTAAAACAAAACCAGTCCACAGTTAAAGACTTTGGCAGTGGCTAGCACATAATGTGTGCTGAGTGAATTCTGTATGTGCTAGGATTCCTACTAGCTTCAGGGATCATGCCATCACAGGTTAACACTACACTGCTACTGTAACTGAATTTGGGGCCCACAAACATCCCTATGAAGTACATGGTATTATCTTCATATTAGACTTGAATACGGAGCTTTAGAGAGATTCAGAAACTCATCTAACCTCACCCAGTAGTGAGAGGTGCGGCAATGAAAGCTTTGATTGTGTCCCAGCAAAGTTTGCGCTACCTCACCTACCTCCAAAAGCTTAAAAGGATTTTTAAAATAATGCTTCACTTATTGCATGAAATTGTGTTCCGCCTCCCCCAACTAAACTGGCATAATTATCTATATAATCAGAAATACTCGACAAATTCTGATAGATTACCAAAAACACAAAATTTTTTTTTTGAGACAGAGTCTCTCTTGGTAGAGTGCTATGGCATCACAGCTCACAGTGACTTCAAATTCTTGGGCTCAAACAAATCTCTTGCCTCAGTCTCCCTCCCGAGTAGCTAGGACTACAGATGCCCAGCTGCTCTTGCTCTAAAGGGGTCTTGCTCTTGTTCAGGCTGGCTTCAAATTCATGAGCCCAAGCAATTTACCTGCCTCCGCCTCCCAGAATGTTAGAATTACATGCATGAGCCACCATGCCCACCAAAATTCTTCTTCATAGCACAATAACATAACAAATACAACTGAGTAAATCATTTAGACCATTCTAATTACATGCCTTTAATAGTTCAAAAGGATTATAGATCCATAGTATATCAAGCCGTTTTTCTTTCAGGTTTTGCAACTTGATTCTGTGGGCCTATGTAACAAACATCTCTCTTTCCATAAGTTCAGTAGGTGTGTACCAAAATTGACAAGAGTTACTCCAAGTATCCCCTCCCACCCTGGCTGAAGCTATTTAGGAAGACTTAATTACTCTGAAAAAGAAAATCAAATTTAAACTGAGTACATCATGGTGACTCTGATCTCACAGACTCTTTTATAGGTCTAATACTGAAATCCAGAAATGTTCAGTCAAATGTATAGCTCCATATACTAAAGACTAACAGTTCTAGGAAAATTGGAGCAATAACACACCATTTTACTCAGAACTATTTGTCCCATCAAATGAACTGGTTACCCAGTTTCCTGAAAACAGAGCTCATGATCATTGCTAATCCATTAAGAGTTAAACTAAAGGATATGCTTGATTTGTGAAAGAAGTGGTGATATGGATAAGCCAAGTCATAGAATTTTACTTCACTTCCCATAGTTTGACCCAGGGATTATACATTCTGGTAATACTTTTTGGTAAGCATAAAGGAGCATGTACTATGTCTGATAAGACGTATAAACAGAAGCAAAATACCTAGATATTTCAAGAATTTATTTATTACAATTTCAATAACCTGAAACCCCAAGTACCAGAAAGCAGTATTGCACAACTGTAAAAGTCAGATATTTATACAGGTGCTTCACAAGCCACTGTTGGGTGTACGCTGTCAGCACTGACATTTACTATCTGTTAAGTAGTTTCAAAGTGCAAAGGCATAAGTCAAGTAACTGGCCTGGGGTGTGAAGTTTATGACAAGGACTAGTATGTCTGGAGAGACTGTGAAGGTGTGATGCTTGTCTTAACTTTCAGCAGGTCAGCAACAGGCAGCCAGGCTGTGGCAAGACAGAACCCTCTCCATGGGTTCCTTTTCCCCTTCCAGGAAGAAAACTTACACCCATACCTTCACGGATAATTGAACAAGGATTGTTCCATAAATTTATAATGTCATCTATGACTTTCTTATAACTGCTTTTCAAGAGCTTTCAAAAGCACTGTTTTTAGGACAAAAGTAACAATATAAAACAGGAAACTAGTTCAGTTTCAAACTGAGAGTAAGGGGAATATTTACTGGGATAAGCACTTAAGAAAGGTTCTAAGTCCCCAAGGCCACATTCCACAAATAACTGCAAAGAGTTTTCACAAATGACAGAAGTCCAAATGCTGAAGTTACCCCTATGGTATATATAAATTTACAATTAGGAATCACTCTTATAGTAATTCTAACAAGAAATTTCTCTTGTAAGGGTAAAAAGAAAGATGGGATAGGTAGAACAACATCCATGAAGCTTCAGCTAAACTTTTGCTCTTGAATTTCATAGATAATGATTTGGTTATGCTTCTCTTCACCTCCAGGCAGGAAAAAAATGTGTTGAGAACTTTCAAAAATAAATAAAGAAAGAAAGAAAGAAGAAGAAGAAAGAAAAGAAAAAACTACCAGCAGCTGAGCTCAAGTCCGAGTTCCTGAATACCCAACAGAATCTGCCTGTTCAGGATCTGAGGGTTAGTTCAAGTGTTCAGGTGAAGACCAACAATAGGTAGTGAAGTCTCCAGACATGCGTTTCTAAAATCCAAGTGGCAAAGCCAGTTGCACCCACTCCCAGGGCCCAGCACACCCTTCCCTGCTCAGGACCTCCGGCCTGGGTGGGGCGCACCGGTCCAGAACCTGCAGGAAGCCCAGGAAAGCCTCAGAGATGCCACAGGTGGCCTGGGACGGCTAGTTCCCCACCCTGCACAGGCCACCTCCCGGAGGCCTGGCCCATCGCCGCCTCCCAGAGGCCGAACGTGCCCTCCAGCCTCAATCTGGCCAATTTTAAGAGGCGAGCTTAGAATAGGGCCCGGGTGGACCCTCCAGGTCCGTTAACTGGACGTGGAGCGCACGCCCAGGGTACCAACTCCACCCTTCCCCTGGGCCAGGGGCGTCCGCAGCTCTTGGAGGGCGTCAGGAAGGAAGTGGGCAGAGGGGCCGCGAGAGGGGAAGCTCAAACGGGCCCTTCGAAAGCGCATGGGACGGACAGCCCCGCGCCTCCTTCCCGGGACCCCTCGGCACCCGGGGGCCGCCGACGCCCCACGCCCCAAGCGCCACGACCCGATCGGGTCTCCCGGACAACAGCCGCCGCCGCTCTCCCAAGGCAGGTCCCGCACCCCCCTCCGCGGCCCGGCCGCCCACCTGTCCCGGGGGTCGATCCAGCTGGTCCTCCTGGTGTTGTGGTCGATGTAGAAGACCTTGCCGTCATAGTCCCTGGCCTCCTCCCAGCCCCGGGGTAGCGGCAGCTGACCGCTCCCGGCCCTCCTAGGCATGATCGGCGGCCTCGCAGGCGATCGGCGCCTCCATAGGGACCCGGCGCAGGACGCGGCGGGAACGCAACTGTCCCGCCCGGCCGCTGCTCCCCGGAGCGGGGATGCAGGGCTGCGGGGCGCGGCGGAACCACGCGCGGGAGGCGCCTTAGGAAACCCTGCTCTCGGCCCGGGAGGGACTCAGTCCACCATGTCTGCGTCGGAGCAGGCAAGCAATCCCTCCTCCTCCTCGCCGCCGCTGCCTCCGCCTCTTCCTCCTCCTCCTCCCAGTCCCCCTGAGGCCGCCGAGGGTCCCGGCGCCCAGGCCGCCGGTGCCGCCGCCGTCTGGGCTCTGATCCGGGAAGCGCGGCCGAGCAGCAGCTAGCGGCTGCGGCGGGCCTCCTCATTTGCGTGCGATTAGCATGCGCCCCGCCCCCGCCCCGCCCGCACATTCCTCGCCGCCGCATTCCTGGGCTTAACCCTGTAGCTGCCAGGAACGCCGCAGGAGCGGGGGCACCCAGCCCCGGCCCCAGTCCCAGCCCGGGGCGGGGAAAGGGAGCGAGCAAGGCCCAGGTGGGAGACTGGGGGCGCTCGAAGGAATGTGCCTCCTGCTCCTTCCCTTTGACCCCAAGTATCGACGTGCGGCCAAACGCGTAGGGCTTTAGAGTTTCTGGACCGGATAGATTGCAAACCAGAAGTCTCCGCCACCCTATCCACCTCTTTCCGCCTTCTAGGGAAACCACAGGACTTTGGAGAGGAAAGGGGTGGGGGAAGCTGTCCTCGGGAGAAAAGTCCCAGCAAGCGGGGAAGGCACAAAGGGCAAACCACCCCCAACTACTCCGCTCCCCAAGTCTCCTTCGGAGTCCCCGGGGCAGCCCAGGAAAGCGTGAGAAGCCCCGAGAGCGTGTCCGTGGTGTGTCCAGGGCGGGGGCGCCCGGCCCTGGGTGAACTCAGCTGAGCCCGCGCGGCGGAAAGCGAAGGCGGGTCCCGCGGGCTGAGGGCGCCCCGATGCTGCGGCCCACCACCCCTGGGCCGCGGGGGTTCAGTCAGGTCCCGCCACTAGAGACTGGGCCACCCCGGGGCGATGCTCCTGGGGCACGGAGTCACCCGCTAGGGTCCCGGCCGTCCCAAAAGGCGCTCGGCGGGGGCGAGGGTGGCTGGACGGGGTCGCGTCCGCGATCCCGTCTCTTCCAAGCAGCCGCCCGCCGGGAAGTGCCCCGCCCGGAGCCCCGCGGTGGCGGAGGAGCTGCGGACAGCCGAGCTGAAGGGACGTCCTCTTTCTGGCCACAGCATTTATTTATTCAGTGACTACTACGTGCCGCTCGCCTCGGGATGAGGGCCGGACATCGAGCCGTGACAATGGTCGTAGCTGTAGGCCTGGCAGGGCCTGAAAGCAGCGTTCAGAATTCCCATCCCCTAAGCCCCAAAACTCCACTCCAGCCAGACCTACACCACTGTCTCCCCCGCCCCATTCGTACTCTTCCGGGTTACTAAGCGGCTTTCTTTTAAAATGCCTACAGGCCCCGGAGCTCAATCATTCACCTCTTAGTGAGAATTAGCTGAGTCCTGCCCGCTAATGCTTAATGACTCCCCACCCCGTACCGGACTCTGCGCTGGGCAGGGGCTCTTGGAAGCTTTGTAACAACCTCCGTTTACCGCCCTGGAACCTCAGATCCGAGAGAGAGAATCGACTGAATTGAGAACCACTCACTACGAGGCTGGCCCTCCGTTGTTGGGATGTCAGCTGCCCTGAGAAATAGGGGCGACTTTCAGATCGCCAGCGGGTGTGGGGTTGGCGTGCGATCTGAAAGTGGAGGCGCAGGCCTGAAGGCTCAGGTTTGGGACACTTTCCCCTAGGGGACTGAGCTTGCCTTCTGGGGCAGGGGCTCTAAAAGAGGAAAGGGGGGGAGGGGTCGCATTTGCACTTGGAGCAATCTGGGTCGGGAGCAGAAAGTTTAAACGGCCAGAAAACTCAGGGGAGCTTGAAGCACCAGAGAAGGAGCAAGCGGCGTTGGCTGAAGGTGGGGAAGGAAGGCGCAACTTTCCCTCGCTTTGGTGATCCTTCTAGGTCTTCTTTTACACCCAGGCTTCTGGAGGCTTTGTGCTTCCTGAAAAGAAGCCCCCCACCTCCGTATCTGCGTTCTGCCCTACCCCCATTAATCAGGAGGTGTTCCCACAAGTCAAGCTTCTCTACCTCTCAATTTTGAATACTATGAAAAAGATGGGGCCTGTCTACAATTAATCTGTCAGGCTACTGAGTGACCGTGCTTTGTTTTTCTGTTCTAAGTTGGCCCACTTGCGTGGCCAAAATTTGCATTGTGGTATATTAATAATATCATTCAGGAAACGAAACGAAACGAAACCATTTTTATTTAAACCTTGCTTCCTGGCTTTTCCCCCAATCCCAAACAATTTGAGAACATTTGTTGCAGGAAAACGTCTACATCTTACATCTTACTATGTAAAGAATAAAAACCAAACTAACATGCTTCGCTGGTACCATAACTTGTTTCCCTGGATGCACGATACTTTTCAGTGTACCTTTAAACTCGATAAGCTTTCGGCTAAGTATTTTTACCTAAATGCTAAAACCAATGAGGAATGCAAAATAGCATTTGGCATTAAATGGAATTTATTGTTCCATAAATCTTCAGACTTCAAAAAGAAACTTGAAGTAGACAAACAAAACTCTAAAAGAGACAAGCTTTCTTCTTCTTTCCCACTGCTAGTACTGGAAGTATTTGGTTATACAAAAGTGGTTTAAGTGACAGGAGTTGCAGGTCTGCAGTTTTCTTTTTGCTTTAATCAACTTTGAACTCTGCCGTTCTGAATTCACAGAATTCCTAATTGTCAAGACAATAAAATTTCATTTACATTCATATCTGTAAAACAGAAATAAATATGAGGATTAGATCCCCCTTTTGTTTTCTTTTCTTTTAAAATTTTTTTTTTTTTTTTTGAGACAGAGTCTCACTCTGTTGCCCTGGATAGAGTGCCCTGGCATCATCATAGCTCATAGCGACCTCATAATTCTGGGCTCAAGCAATCCTCCTGTCTCAGCCTCTAAGTAGCTGGAACTATAGGTGTCTACCACCACACTTGGCTAGTTTTTCCATTTTTTAGTAGAGACAGAAGTCTCATTCTTGTTCAGGCTGGTCTCCAACTCCTGCTCTCAAGAGATCCACAGGCCTCAGCCTCCCAGAGTGCTGGGACTACAGGCATGAGCGAATGAGCCCAGCCAAGATTATTCCCACTTTAAAGACAGATACATTTAGATTTGAGCTGGGCTCCAGCTGGCCTTGGCAAAAAATGATGATATTGTCCAGCATGCCAGATTACCCTGGCCTGTGGAACCATGTGCTGCATTGAAGAGTCTCTTCTGGCTCGGCGCCTATAGCTCAACAGGCTAAGGCGCCAGCCACGTACACCTAAGGTGGCGGGTTCGAATCCCCAGCCTGGACCCGCCAAACAACAA